TTCCAAGTCCTCCAGAGGATCTTATAGTCTCTGGGTCCATAGAGCCTTTCTGCAGCCAAAGCCTGTCACTAAAATGGAGACACTTTTAGTCTCCCCAGTTCCCGCACCCTTGCTTCACTCTTAGATATCAGCACAAGCAACCAGTGACCTTGGCTTGATCAGTCTGTTCAACCCATCTCACAGCACCTGCCATTCTCTGATATACTTTACCTTGGTGTGATTCTGACTTCCTACAGACAAAGGGCTAAACCTACAGCTGTCTATAGTTCCAGTGGCTCAGGACTTGGCACATATACATATGTTATATACATAAAATATATATAGGTCGGGTGTGGTGGCGCATGCCTGTAGTCCCAGCACTTGGGAGGCAGAGGCAGGCGAGTGAGTCACAGGCCAGCTTGGGGCCACAGGGAAACCTTTTCTCAAAAAAAACAAAAAAAATCTTTTCCAATCATCGAAAAAAAAAAAAAAAAAAAAAAAAAAAAAAAAAACATATATGCATGTTTCAGGAAAGAAGAGGGAGGAAAAAATTAAAAAGACATAGAAGGACAGTTTTAGGAATTTAAATATCTATTATTTCTTCAACAGAACACATTTTTCATGATGCAATGTGACTCAGGTTGAGCTCTATTGGTCATACCTGGGAAAAGGAACATTGATTTTAAAATGCCTATGAGGACACTAGGCCTCTGAGAAGAATAAATCAAACTATTACAAATATTTACACCCACTACTTCTTTTCTTCATTACATTTTTCAATGTATTTGTTTTTAAAAATATTTGATGACTGTTTAATATATTTGATTCATGTTCTTTCCCATGAGACTGAAGGAGAAGAGCCATAAAGGTAGCGACCACATCTATTTCTGTTTATTACTATATTTCCAGTGTCCAATACTGGCATGTAACAAATATTTGTTGGTTGGTAAACTAAATAAATCTATCACATACCAGTCAAAGAGAAGAGGCTAATCAGAGTCAAATACTTACATTTATAGATTTATAGCATATTTATAAATTTTGCTTTATATATTTTTATTGTAAATAATAATAAATTAACCATGAATACATGAATTAACCCTGGCATCCTCACTACATATATAGATCAAAGGATAAGTAAAGTGTACAAATAAAAGAGTCAGATTTCCAGAAAAAGTGCAGTGATGTGGGCTTTCCCACTGGGTCCTATGCTTTCAGCCACCATGATTTCTAGGTATTTACCTATGCCTACATACCTGGATTTATGGATATTTTCTAGTTTTAGCTAAATAAATTTTTATACCTAAGTAAATCATTAAAAATATTACTGTAAAGATCCAGAGGCTGAGGATAACACTAAACTAAAAATGCCAGTGCTAGTAATACTAGTAACTCCAAGGAAACGACAAATTGATGTTGCATCTCCTTATAGAAATTAACCAGTCTCATTTTGGTTTCAAAACAATGACTGCCAGTCCTGTGCCACCCAGCAGCTAACTCGGAGGAGGGGCAGGAGACACACTAATCTTCAGGGGAAAGGTAGAAGTTTAACATCGAGGAATTTGAGAACAAAACAGTATGTTTGCATTTTGAAGAGGACATTTAAAAACCCTTTTTTTTGTGGTGCTGGAGATCACCAAACACATATGCTGAGATTCTTCTACTGACATGTGACTTGGAGCCTAAAATGCTGTCAATGTACAAACAAGCAAATTGTTTACATGTACACACCTAAACTACATACAGAACTTCACAATTAGTTTTTAAGATGTCACCTAAAGAGTTTATTGAGGAATGTGGCCTGGAGAGATGGCTCAGCAGTTAAGAACACTGAATGTTAATGACCTTGGTTCAAACCCAGCACCCACATGGCAGCTAACAACTGTCTGTAACTCCAGTTTCAGGGGATCTGACAGCCTCTTCTGTCCTCCGTGGGCATTGCACGACACGGGCGCACTTACCTACATGCAGGCAATACAAGTATACACATTAAAAAAAATAAATTAAATATTAAGAGTTTACTGAGGAATGTGACACATCTTAATTAATTTATTTTTTTGAGACAGGGTCTTCCTGTAGTCTCAGCTGGCCTGGAACTCACTATGTAGACCAGGCTGGCCTTGAACTCACAGAGATCTACCTGCCTCTGCCTCCCAAGCATACCTCTCTTTTATTTATGGGAATCATTAAAACAAGTTAAAGAAAAGTAAAAGAAATGATAATAATAACACTGTGATAAAGGCATTGTGTTCCTCACCAAAAAAAACTCAGATGAATTGCCTTTATAAAAATTAAAATTATTTTTAAATATTTAAAATTTATTTCATTTTTTCTTTTATTTAGATTTGCAACATTAAGTAATAGACTAGTAAAATATTATATCTGTTCATAATTTTAAAATAAAGTCATACATTAGTGGGAATGTATGCTCACCCATGTTTAGAGATTACTAATTTAGATATCAAGAAGCTATTTAAAAATTTTAAATGAAAAAAAAAATCCAAACCTGAAATTTAGAAATGTAATCCTGGGGGCAGCAGGTGAGGATGAAAACATTTGAAAGTTAAAGTAGTTTTTAAAGGAGCTAATATTACACTAATAGCAGAGAACATCCATAAAATGCCTCTACTTTTGGATTCCTTCTCAGTACACAGAGTTAGACTTCAGCAAAAGCTTTCTGGAGAGCAATGCCTCCTACTCTTGGTTCAACCAAAGGCTACAGGACCAGTTGCAAGATGCGGCCATGAAAGGGGAATGGGGAACAGTTCTGGACCTGTGGCTACTGAGATACTTATTATTTTTCTGCAGGCCAGGACTAGGTTAAAAAAAAAAAAAACCAAATATATTTCTTTTCTGACACATTTATGATTTCTTGAAGTGTTTTTTTTGAAAGATTTTTAATAATGGAAGGGTATGCTAAGTGGATGGCAGAAAATTGCTTCCCCACCCCTTACTGTACTGAGCCAGTTCCCATCTTAATCATGCATGTGACCAGTTTGATTTATTTCCTTCCAGAACATTTTCTGCACATATATACTTCTCTCTGTGTGTGTGTGTGTATTTATACTGTGATGTTTTACATATATATGTATGTGTGTCTATATTTACATAGTTTTGCATTATTGACTTTACAAAAATAGTATTATATTCAGATATATCACTTGACAATATTTGATGGTCTCCCCTCTAGGACAGAACATAAGGATCCAGCCCCGTTTTTGCAGAGCTGGAGGCAATGCTATCATATGGATGGCTATACCATAGATTACTAAACCATTCTTTCATTGATGAACTTAGCAGTTTCTTCTGTATTTCCCTTTTACAAAAGATAGGAATGAAAACCCTTGCACATGCATCTTTGTATACTTTTCTGGGCAAGACAAATTGCTATCAGTAGAGTTTGTGGGTAAAGAGGAGGTACATTTAAATTTTAATTAGTTCTAAATTATATTTCAAACTGTATTTGAATTTAATCATTATTTACTAAATATTTTTCCTTTTATTTGTTCAGTTTTGGTCTTTGTTTTTTCCCACATTTTAAAAAATTCTTTGACAATTTCATGTATGTATATAATGTATCTCAATCATATCTACTCCCAACATCTTTTCTTTTTGAGACAGGATCTTACTATGCAGTTCAGGCTTGTCTAGAACTCACTATGTGGCATAACATGAATCTCCTGCCTCATCCTCCAAGTGCTGGTATTACAAATGTGTACCGCCACATCTGGCTTCTTTAAATGTTTTTGTAGAGCTCTAAATTCAGAAAAAGATCTCAGAAAATTTGTACATAAACAACAAAGGTTCAAGGAGGTTCAGGTTCAAAGCCCTTGAGGAGACAACACTCCATGCACCAGCAGGAAGTCAGGTATGAGGGATTATTCCTAACATTCAGGACCATGCTTGGGTCAGCTGAGTTCAAATGCAACATGTATTCCATCAACTGCACTGCAAGCAAGAAAGGGCTGCTATCTCATTTTTCTTGTATTCTTTCAGCAAAAAAAGAAAAAAAAAGAAAAAAAAGGGCAGTAAATTCCAAAAATATACAATGGCATGAGAGGATAGAGAAGTAGTCTCAAACTCGGTGGAGAGCACTGGACACTCAGAGCTGAAGGCACCCTGAGTTCGGCTGCAGAGTGAGCAAGTGCGGTGGAAAGACTCTGACACGGGATAACCTTAGCAAAAACCTTCCACAGCCTCAGTGGGTTGTAAGAAAACTTTCTTGGTTCTAAATATCTCCATGTGGCATCCAAAATGAATGCCAGTACTGAAACCAAATTCTGAAGAGAAATATCAGAAAAGAACTAACATCCCACAATGAAGAAACATCTTCAAAGAAGATGTTGTTATAAAAATACCACAAAAGTACTTTCCAATAAATTCCAGACCTGAAAGTAAAGCTTTAAAATGAGGCTCCAAGCACAAGGTCTTGAATCCTTTGCTATGTGCCTAGAGAGGCCCATTTAGAGGAAGCACTTCTAACCAGATAGAAGTGCTATCTTTATTTGACCAGATTTTCAGGGTCCAGGAAGGAGAACAGGAAAGGTTACTTGTATCTTGAAATTAGAATGGTCTAGAACTATTCTAGAAACAAACTTCTGCAAAAGATAGAGGATAAATAGTTGAGGCCACAATGTCTCTGCTGCAACTACTCTGTAGTGATCGTGGGGAATGGCTGACGATACAAGCACATCAGCACAGCTGTGCTCCAATGCAACATCATCAACATGGAAACTTGAATCTCATATGATTTTCAGGAAAAGTAATAACTATTAACTGCTATTTTAATTTTTTCCAACCATTAAAAAATATGAAATCCATTTTCAGCTCATGGGCACAGGGAGTGGGCAGGATTTAGCTGGTAATTCCTAACTTGCTGACCTCTGGCACAGAAGCACCAGACTTTCAACTGAATCCAAACATTGGTAGAAAGAAGAAAGCATCTGAGCCCAGACCCTAGGACCATTAGGTGAGAAGGCAGAAGGCAGGAGCAGCTGTTCTCAAGGGTTCCCAGCGTTTACCTTAGGTCTCTTCTCTTGCTGAATTCTTCAGGTGGAATTGTCCAGGGCAGGCTTTGAGGGAGACACTCAAGAACATCTGAAGAGAAATCGGAGAAGTCTACACCATACTCTGTTAGGATCCCTTCTGTCTCGGGCTCAATTTCACCAGCCTGCCCAAGACTCTTGGCTAGTTGCCTATGGATAGAGTGGAGAGTGAACAATTGTATTAGTGAAAAAATGAAATGTAGGTGCCTATCTCTTCTCTGCAGGTAAGTTGTTATAAAAGTCTTTAATCTGTCTTCTGCCAGCAGGATATGATCGCCAGTGTATGGATGAGGGAGGAAGTGGAGGAAGCAGTGACACTCCTTCCAGGACATCCATGATTATAGTACGATTTACCTTTCCTGACAAATTCTGACCAGGGGACTAGGAACAGAGGGCAGAGGGCTTTCTTAGAATTCCTGCAATTTTCCCTCATGGAAAAGTCAAGACCAATATTCTTTTTTATTTTTGACAGTCTTGCTATGTAGCCCAGGCTGGCCTCAAAGTTACAATTCTCTTGCTTCCACCTCCCAAGTGCTGTAAGGCATGTGCGATCATGCTTAGCTTCAAAACTGATACTGTGAAAAGCCTGTATCAATGCTTTGGGGAAAAAAGCCTTCAGAAAACTTTGGTCAACTTCACTTGCTGTTAAATTATTAGCTTCAGATGCTTAACTAATGCTCTCTAAATCAGAGCTGAAGTTCATATTTGTTTTGCAATTCCACTGGATCTTACCTTTAAAATGTAAAAATACTTTATCTGAACACAAAAGTGGTTCATGCCTACAATGAAGAAATGCACTGAGAGGAATATTAAAGGTTTATAATCCAGCCATTCAGCAAACTACCACTTATACTTTAGGACTAGTCTTTGAAAAAACAAGCCAATGTCATGTAGGCTGGCGCATGCCTTTAGTCCCAGCACTCAGGAGGCAGAGGCAGGCAGAGCCCTGTGAGTTCCAGGCCAGCCTACAGTTAAATAGTGAGATCCTGTCTCAAAACCAAAACACAATAACGAAACACACACACACACACACAGACACACAGACACACACACACACACACACACACACACACACAAACCCAAACCAATCAATACAACAAACAAACAAGGACAATCCTGACATTATGACTAGAGTGCTATCTTTTTATAAAATATTTTATTATTTTTATTTTATGTGTATGAGTGTATTGCCTGCATGTATGTAAGTACACCAGCATCATGTAATGCCTGCGGAGGTCGAAGAGGGTGTTGGATCATCTGGAACTGGAGTTACAGATGTAGTTAAGCTGCCATGTAGGTTCTGGGAATCAAACCCAGGTCCTCTACAAGAACAGCCAGTGCTCTTAACCACTGAGCCAACTCTCCAGCCCCCTAGAGTCCTGCCTAAATGGGTGACTCAGCTCTCTATTATTTTTCTTTTTTAAATATTTTATTTATTATTTTTATATTTTTATGTGTATGTGTGTATTTCCTGCATGTAGGTAAGTGCACCCGTGTCGTGCAATGCCCGTGGAGGACAGAAGAGGCTGTCAGATTCCCTGAAACTGGAGTTACAGACAGCTGTTAGCTGCCATGTGGGTGCTGAGAATCGAACCCGGGTCCTCTGCAAGAACAGTCAGTGTTCTTAACTGCTAAGCCATCTCTCCAGCCCCCTGAAAGTACTCGTAAGTAGCCATCTTTGTAAAGGGTGTTGGGGAAACCAAAGCTAGCTACCTACTTGGCAGCATATGCCTGTTCATTCACCAGGATGATCAGAGAATCCATATTCAGCTCTTCCTGCAAGGAACTTAGCTCTGGTATTAGCACCTTTTCCAGGGCCATTCAATTTCTATGAAGAAGATTCCACTTCCTATGTAAGAATGGCTGCCTATCTTCAGAGTTCTTAGATGCACAGCAGTAAATGGTAATTAAGTGTCTGTTTGCCTAATGGGCAGATTTTTAACAAATTCTGACCTTTAGCCCTGGAGTACAACAGTTGTAGCAGCCAGGCTGACCCCACTCTCACACACATCCATGAAAGAGCAGTCCATAGTCCACACATACCTGCTCACCAGCTTATCCTCTAGAGATCCTGTGAATTAACTATGGGTACTACATACGGTGTGGGTTCAGACCAGTGCCTCCCCTCACTAATTGTAAACTTCCATAGAGCACATCGAAAAGCCAAAGACAAGAGAAACATGAGGGGAGGGGGAAATTGGAGAAAGCACAAATATTTGGAAGTTAATGGATGAGTCAAGGAATGAGTAAAGAGGGGATCTGAAAATCTTTTGAAATGAATGAAAATACAAATTATCAAGATCTGAAAGAAAGCTAAAGCAAATCTCCAAGAGAATTTACTGCATTTAATAAGGAGAGGAGGAGAAGGCAGAGGAAAAGAGGAAGAGCAGTGTCAATGACCTAAGCTTCTACCTTTAAAAAAGGACAAGAACAAATGAGGTTCCAGGCAAGTGGTAGAAAGAAAGAAAAAAGAAAGAAATAAGAATTAGTAGAAGAAAGAGTAAAACAGATAAGTTCTTAGTTAAGACTGGTCAAGAAAAACAGTGAGGCAAAGACACAAATTATACATGTTGGAAATGAGAATGGGGGTATCATTACACACCCCACAAACATGAAAAGGATGAGGGAGCTACAAGTGGCTGTTAGCCAATTCAACATCTTGGATAGAATAGGCAAATTCCTTGAAGATACAAACTGCCTAGGATTATTCAACAATAAATCAATATCTGAATCTTCCTGCATTTACTAAAGAAATTGTATTGTACTTAAAAACCTTCCTATAAAGAAACTCAAATGCCAGATGCGTTCCCTGATGAATTATATCAAATACTTAAAGAGAAAACAGAATTTAAGCTGGGTGTGGTAGCACAGGCCTTTGATGCAGAAGCAGGTGGATTGCTGTAAATTTGAGGCCAGTCTATTTACTCCTGTAATTCCAACACTAAGGAGGCAGAGACAGGAGGGTACCTGGGACTTGGTGGCCAGCTAGTCTTGCCAACTTGGTAAGCTCCAGGTTCAGTGAGACCCTGCCTCAAAAAAAAAAATAAGGTGGGTAGCAATAGAGAAAGATATGTATGTCAACCTACGGCTTCCACATGCACACACATATGTGCACATGGATGAACATGTTCACACATCTAGAGCTAATACAAAACTTAATGGTGAAAGGCTAAATGCTTTCCCATAGAGCCAGATGAAGACAACTGTGTTCATTGTCAACAATAGTTTAACATTGTATTGGAGAATCTAATGAATGTCATAAAGCAAAGGAAAACAAAGGCATACAAATTAAAATGGAAGGATTTCTTTCATATTGCATATAGTGGGATAAAGTAAATATAATTCCCATCACAGAAATGTCCAGTCTCTTACTACATGATGCCTGGAAGACCCCATTCTCTGTATGATACCGAAGCCAGTATAATGTATATGACTTAAACTCTACCCCAACCCAAGATTCGGAATGCAAAGACAGTGACACAGAGACAGGAGAAGTGCTCAGTATTCCTTGCTGGCTGCGCAAGTACAGAGGTAGCAACAGAGTCCAGGGAAATGGTTTCTTACAAATAAGTGGTATTCACTGGCATCATAGCCCAAAAACCCTGATCAAAGCTGAGTGAGGGCTGGGCTTCTCGGCTCTCCAGAATTACCATGCACGACTCAGGCAGTCAAGCCTCTCACTGTTTTTGTAATCCCTTCAATATCCTTCCAAAAAATTATTTTCCCAAACAGAGTCTTGTTCTTTTGCTTGCAACCCAGACAGTTAAATACTGTGTCCCAATAATTTTCAAAATGCTTACAGAATGAAGTCCAATAAAGTTTTGAGGGAGCTTTTATCGTAGTCTTTGAAGGACATAGGAATTCAACACTGGGACATAGGAAGGCTATTTAAAACTGTGTTACTCAGCTTAAACAAAAAGAACTTTATTCTAAAGGAGAAAGGTAATAGTCATTAAAAATAATTAGTATTTTTAAAATTAACAGGATCTGAGTAAGTTATTCCCTAGTCATCTACCCTACTTATTTTATTATCACGTATTACTCTCACAGGCTCCTGAGGGTCTGTTTCCTATATTCGACTCCTAACATCAATGTCTTTAACTGTCTGGGTTCTTGATTACAAGCACAAGAAACCAACTCTGGTTAGGCAAGGTTTATTGAAAGGATACAGAGGGACAATCAGAGAACCAGAAAAGTGCATAGAAACAAAGAATGATAAGCTCACTTTCTAGATTTTTGGTTCCAGGCTAAGAATGAAACACAAAGATTTTCATTTTAATGAAAAATTTCTTGAATTTCTTAGCAGAAAAGAACAAAATCTCCAATCAATTTAGCATCTGAGTAAGCCTCTTAGGTAAAAAGTGGGGGCACTTGTGAGAAAGAGGATGATTTAGAGAAACACGCCATATACAGACAAGACACATAGGGCGACAGAGAATGATCTCAGTACATGCACTGCTTATGCCCACCAATCCTCTACTGTCAGGACTTATAAGAAGTAGACTACAATAGCAGGATTCCCTTTGAAGATGTGATCTCTGAAAAAACAGTGAAGCAGAAACTTCTAGTATATCTATGGTCCACTTTGGCTGAGAAAAGAAGGCCTGATAGAAGGTAGCTACAGTTTAACCAGATGGATAGGGACTGGAAAGAAGAATGATCAGAGAGGACTGGCAGCCTCTCTGGATGAGGCTCATGAAGGATGAGAAGAGACCTGTGGTGAAAGCAGCCTACTGAAACGGCCTGACAGAGTGTGACTATACTGCATGGGGGCTAGTCTTCATTGTCAGCTTGACTGGATTTTGAAACACACCCGTGGGGGGTGGTGGGGGGAGAGAAATTTCCAGAAAGGTTTGACTGAAGGAGAAAGATTGCCCAGAATGGAGAAAGTGAGATGAACACCAGAATTCATCTCTCTGCTTCCAGACAGATGGTACAACGTGATCAGATGCTCCTGTTGCCAAGATGGACTGTGTCTCCTTGAATTGTGACTGAGAATAAACTCTTCCTTTCCTAAGCTGCTTCTTGTCAAGTATTAGGTCAAAACAAAAAGAAAAATAACTGGTAACTACTGCAGGAGAATTCTCAGCACAATTCCACTGTGAAGGCATGGGTCCACCCTCAGAATGTCAACGAATCTCCTTCACCAA